AACAAATGTTGTATAACCCAAAGAGGCACCTGAATTTTATTTCAAGAGAAATGCAAAAAGAGACAAGTCATCCGGCAAATAGTGTCTTACTGTTTCTTTGAAGGAATCTTCCGCGGAAAAAGCTCCGCCTCCATTACCACAGAAAAACGATACCCCTTAGGCCCCTAGCCTCATGAGCATAGCAAAAAGAACGGAACATAAGCGTTAGTTTCGATAATACTAATCCTACACACAAGACAAAATGATCACTCTTTCCGTGGAAGATTCCTTTAAGGTATCGTTTTCTGTGGTAATGAGGGCGGAGCTTTTTCCGTGGAAGATTCCTTTAACCATACTTTCTCTCGTATGGAGGGGGTGACTAATCTCATACCGCTATGGGACAGACGACTGAAGGGACGTCACTCTTCACCTCTCTTTTACGATTCGAGATTCAGGGTCCATGTATGTAATTACAAAATTACTACATAAAACTGCAAAAAAATTACTCGCACTTTGAACACCAATCGACTCAATGACAGCCTTTGTTTTTGTAGCACAGACCTCCGCTCAGAATCCTCCTGTTTGTGCTTGCCGCGTCGAGGCTCTGACCCTTTTCCCGACTTCTAATTCAGAGCGATGCTGAAAAGAGCGTTACAGGCATATCCATGTCGCGGTTTGCACGAGTTCGATTTTTGGCACCAAGGCGTTTCGACCCCTCTCACCAACTTTTCCGCTCGCTCACCACTACATATGCGGTGTTGGCATTGTTCGTCGATATCGCCTGAGACGCACATCTCGCTCATCCATTTTCCCTCCATGCTGTGACGTGGCTTAGGGAAAGGGGAGAATAGCGAATATGGGTGATAACGCGTCAAATGCTCTATTTGCGCTCATTTTGTGCACTATCTTGAGAATTTCGCTAACTTCTCGGAAATCACCAGGAACGACCACACCAGCAACCTCTCAACATTCGCTACAATGTCCCTTTTTGAAAATTTCAACTTTTTGAATTCCTACAATCACAACACGAAAAAAGAGACATGCCACCCCCGTTGGTCTTTGCTCAACGTGCATACGATTGACACTGATCCTAGGCTACGACCGGAATTTAGCAACTATATACGCTGCTCACTGCTTAAAGGCAAGAATCAGGATTAATTGATGGGGTGATTCCACTCAAATGTGAAAGTAGGGATGGGAGGTGGACCGCCAGTGGAGAAAAAAGGAAAGAAAATCCTGAAATACACAGGAAATACGAGCATTTTGCTCTATGCTGTGGAGAAGTTCAAAAGACAGGCAGGGAGATGAGAGATAATGTGAGCGCGGAGAGCGGTAGAGAAGTCCGAGAAGAGAGAGCATAGCAGATCAACGTGGCGACGCAGACAAGATATCGAACGGTGGGCGGACCATGTTAAGTTTGGTGGAGTCTGTTAGAAGTCCATGGCGCCTAGGGTCCTAGTGACGCGTTTCGATGTAGAAAGGTGGCGCTACCTTTGCACTTGCGTACCCAGCACTTCTAGCCATGGTAAGGGCTTCTTAGGTGGGTCTGAGCCCGAACTTTGCCTTTAACAAAGTCAACTACAGAGTGAGATATCTGAGTAAAATCACAGAGTGGCGAGAAAACCATAGCTGCTTTTCCTGCATGTCAAAAGGACAAGGCCTCAGATAATGTTCAAGGAAATTGCTGTTGTATTGATGTGAAGAGATTGTTTGGAAAACACCGCATATTGGATTGTCTATTTCTCTGGCCTACCTTTTATACTCAGATTCCCCTCTGGTGGGTAAAAAATCGGTTCAAAGTAAAGCACACTTCGAAGATGCAATCCAATGTAGAAACACACACCTGATCTCTGATTTTCGTACACTCCTTTCCTTCAGGATGCGGGAAAGTTCCAGTCTTGTTTCTCTTTCTGTTTCTGTCCCAACAAATCGTACGTATTTATTGGATCTCGCGCCAACTTCCTTTAACGTTTCTAATTATATTCACGTGTGGTTATGAAAAGTTCATCACATGTAGTAACTTATAACTGGATCAGGGCTAGGGCTCTTTTCCAACGAAATGCTTTCTGCCTTTAGAACTGTTGTTTTCGTCACCGTGAATTTTTTTTCTCTGGTCACTCCACAAACCACATATTTTTGGTATTTTTGTCAATGATGCAAACGGTAAACACATTTTCAATACTGTGGACCTTTGTGATGAAGAACGCAGCTGTACAATTTGAATGGAGCAATTTGCACGGTGGGAAACGAACACGGACTGCGAGCGGCACAGTGACAGCAATTGTCCCAGCAGGGTTTTTACCTTCGACAATAATGGTGTGGATCGATGCGCTAGCCCTAGTCAAGAACATAAAAAGTGTGACTGAACAAAAAACTCACTTGGAAAGCCGCTAGAAAGAGCTGAACGGCTTCGAAGTGGGCGTGGTTGGAATCGGCCGAGGGAACTGCACAACCACGCCCACTTCGAAGCTGTTCGGCTCCCTTTCTAGCTGCTCTCCAAAGCAAGTTTTCTGTTCAGTCACACTGCATATGTTCTTGACTTAGGCTTGCGCATCGTTCCACATCACTAGTGTCGAGTAAAAACCATGCTGGGACTATTGCTTTGAAGTGCTCGAAGGTGGAAGGGGAAACACGAGAACCAGGGAAAAATCCCCATTGCATATCTCAGCTTATTCCACACCTCTCTTTCTCATCCGATTTCTTTCAGCACAATAGTGAGCTTCATCACTGCTTACTTAGCATTCATCCAATCGGGCTTAGTCGTAAGACGCACATTTTGGGAGACCTGTTCTTGCAAGGCTGATTCCACTCGATCATTCTGTTATATCTGCTCACTTGCAAGATGCTTTATCGCCAGATGGCGGGGGGGGGAGGGGGTACAATAAAATAAAACATTTTGTCTTCACACTCAATTCAACGATTTAGTCATGCTCTGTTAGATTCAAATCAGATGGCCCAACGTAGAAGTGAAGAGCACATTCCATTTAATAAATAAACTCATGTCGCTTCGTAAATGGCATCAGAAAAGCTAGGACTTCGGAAATGTGGGGCAGTGCTCGTGCCCTCAAGGGTTTCGTTTTTAGACGGATCCTATACAATACGACGTGTTTTGAAGAGCGGGTTCAGAGGGTTTTCATAGACAGAGCTAATGCATCTAACAGCAGATCGAGTGAGCTACCCTACGGGTCCCCTTGAGCTCGCTCGACTACGATGGCAGACGAAGTCACGTTCTGTAGACATGAGGATAATGGAGGAGGGCTTGCTTTCCCTTTTGCTGTAACTTCCGTCAAGATACCAAGGAAAAGATCGCGGCATAGGAAAATGAATCAATTTTTGTCCTCCCCCACCCCCTCTATTGCCGGAATGTTGTTGCTTGTGACACTGTTCTACTGAGTATTTCTATTATTTCTGTTTACAAAGCAGATCCAATATTCCGTTTTCTCTTAATCCCTCTTTATGTAGATTCAAACCGACTTCTCTAAAATATACACTGATCATCGGCGGCATAGGCAGGACGTGAGACCTGTTCTCAATGTGAAGGTTTGCGATGATTGGGTAGGCGTGTGGATTGAAAGAGAGGTGAAAGAAATAGACTTATCATATCCGTTTTCTCGCTTTTTGTCTCGTTTTCACTTTTCTCGCACTCTTTCATGTACAGATGAAGAAATTGTATACGTTCTAAGGAATGCGGAACAATCAACGTTACGCACTCCTTAGAACGATCAATGGCAATGTTATCAACACAAAAGAGTGCCATTCCATGTTTATTTGTCATTAAAACTGACTCGTCGCTAATTTCTCTTCAATTTGGCACATACTGGAATGGACAATCAGAGAGAAGGAGTATAATTACAAACAGGAATGAGCCAGCGTTCAAGTGAGTCCCACAACATTGGGCTGTAGTCTTGGGTCCTGATTAAACCAGGAAGGTGATTTTCCAATGCTTTTGGAGAATGCATTTCGTACCGGCAAACCCCAATGCGCAGATGCGCCTGAATAACGGGACATCCATGCTGAATTGATAAAACTTCGTTTATTCCAAACAAATATTATACTTCGGTGCTTTTTCGTGCAAAATGAAAACTAGCACTAGCCATGTCAAGGTGAAACCACGAAAAACTCTCGCTAAATTGAAAATTCTAATCCCACTCCAGAATTTGGAATTACTCTGGGACCGATACAGAACTCTTTCTGCCAAAAGTAGTGTCATTACGCTAGTTAATTGCAATCCAAAAATCAGCTCGATACAGTGAAAAATTACAAGTCTAAAATTAGAGAAACACCGTTTAGGAATAAAGGAAGACTCTCAATAAATCAATCACTGTAAAATGTATGTGCCCAAGGTGTTGGATATTCCACTGTTACGATTTTTGAGGATTATCATCGGCCGTGATGTATTAGTGGCAAGTGGCACGCTTACCACGCGAGCGGTCCGGGGATCAAATCCTGGGTCGTGAGTCGCCCGGGCCAACCAAGCCTTCCATCCCTCCGGGGTCGGTTAATTGGTACCAGACTTGTCTGGGAGGATAAAAACACTGACTTGTACATCGGCTGGCCCCCGCAAGTCATTGTATAGGCCACATCGCATTCAAACGCCACTACGAATGTACAAATGGAAGTAGAATGCGTGCCGCATCCCAAAAAGGGATTGATCAACGGCAAATGCTTTATCCTTTTTTTTAAAGCGCCGCTGACCGCCGAGGAGAAAACGATGCCCTCGACAGCTTCGGTCAGGCAATTTAAAAATATGTTCGAAAAACTTTTCCACGAAGGTGAAAGGCCGGAAGGAGCCGCATTCTTTTTTCTGCCACTCATACGGTTGACCGAGTCGTGCATGAATGCTTCCCGCAGAAATGTCTTCCTGCATTTTAAATAAAATATATCCCTATGATTTCTCCCTTGTACATTATTTATCAAGTAGTTGGGAGGTAACTGATCGACATCTTGAGCGTTTACTATACCGTCCAGGAGTCATGCAATGACGTCCTTCGTGTACGAAGAGAAGTGTTCTTGCGTCACAAATGTCATGTTCACTTGTGCAAATATATCGAGGCGCTTTCGTCATGCCAATGAATCGGCAGGGTAACAAAGAGGGGGTTAGGCAACTGATACAACGGGACAACTGGAAATCACTTTCATTTTCCAGATTTCTGAACCACAACAGTCGGGACGATCGCCGTTCGCCGTCTTGTTTCAGTCGCCGTTTGCGCAACGTCGTGGTACTTCACTACAGAACCTGAGCCCAACACTTGCAAGGTTCGTTTTCACACTCACTTCGTGTTACGAGAAGAGTAACCCCATTTGGTTGTATCTATCTAGAAATTCGCATTTACGCGAGAATTTTGGAGAGTTATGTGAAATAGCACCTTTCCATTGTAAAGGTGAGAAAACAACCTCGCGATACTTTTAAAACGTCAAAATGTCAGGCGATAAATAAGCAAATGAGTCGAATTTCTTTAAAGGCATGCCCCAGGATCGCACTGGTGTGGCTCTTGCACACGAATGTGAATGTATCGGTGCCAAGTGGGCCGGCAGTGAAGAAAAAAGGAAAAGAATCCGTCGAAAACGCTCAGGTTAAGGGCTCACTCACCTTCCTAATCGGCTGTGCTAAGGGAATGAGAGACTAAGCGCGGAGAGGAGAGTATGAGGCGAGAGAGCGCTACAGATGAGAGAGCGCCAGACAACAGCCTGATAAGAGAAAACTGCAGCTTGAGCAGCTTACTTTGCAAGGCCCAAGCGCTCTTGTCGGTCGAATTCCGTGCACGTGAACGCCACATTTGTGATTGTCCCCTAGGGTTCTATACTTCTGACCGAAGAGAAGCGTTCACACGACCTCTGCCTGGGTTGTGCCTTTAAAAAGATGCTCATTATCACATGAATGCAGAGTGACAAAACTTAATGCTGAATTATAAAGCTGTAATAAAAGGCTGGCTGGTTTTGAAATTAAAATAGGATGAGCAGGCCCTGGCTCAAACAACGTTTTCAACAAGTCCACTACAATCTTCCCTGCTCACAGTAGATGAGTTAAAGGCAGAATTTACGATGAAAAGCTGCTCATTGGAAATAAGGGTAGAGGTGGTCAGTGGAGCAGGGATGAAGAAGAAACCATTGAAACGGCCAAAACCCGAGAAATGGGACCCCTTCCTTGCCCGTTGATTTGCGCATTGATGCGACTCTCATCGCTGTGCCCTCTTCAACACTACGCTCTCTCTGCTATCTAATCACTCGCCACGTATTGATTAGCGGCTGAAAAATAGTTCGTATAGCATACATTAAAGACTATGAATCTCAGACTGAGTACTTCACGATTAAGCCAAGAATACTTCGAAAATGTGAAACTGCACGAGGATAAGGTTGTGGGCCTGTTCCGGACTGCGGCAAGCGCGTCCTCCGAGCCTAGCAACACTGGCGCGCCGCCAGCAGGGGACTATTAATGAAACGACAGCGCTTCTCCGCGATGTTACGTGGACGTCAACCGCATAAAGACCCTGCAAGAATTGAACTAGCATGGGTACTGAACTATGTTATGAACATCTTACTCACCAGTCTTTCTTATCTCACTGCCACCTTAAAGGACGAATTTACGATGGAAAAGCAACCCATTCCAAATTGAGGTAGAGATGGTGAGTAGTACCAGAAAGAAAGCGAAACCACGAAAAACGGCCCAGAACCGGAGAAATGGGACCCCTTCCTTGTCCGTTGATTTGAGCATTGATGGGACTCTCATCGCTTTGCCCTCTTCAACCCTACGCTCTCTCAGCTATCTAATCACTCGCCACCTATTGTACTACGGCGAGTGATCAGACGATCGGTGGGCGGAGATCGCCGAACTCGTCA